TATATATATATCTAAAAGCATAATTATAAGGCTACGAAAACCAAACGAATTTTATTTTATAGCGATTATACACTTATATAAACATATTAATGGGTAGAATATTCAGATTCAGATTCAGATTGACAATAAACCATGCCAAATATTACACACTGGCCCTTTAAATAATTGCTCAGTTATCTCATCACATTATAATAATAAAATCTTTCAAAACTTCCAATGAACTATTGAATACAAAAGTTTCCTTCATGGGATTATGATTAGGTGTTGCAGTTTCTTGATTGTTTGGGAAAGGGGAAAAAAGTCTTGGTTTGGGTAAAATGAATAGACATCTGTCAGACAAGGCTCTGTGGGAGAAAGCCAACAAGGAAAATTCTCCAATGTGCTTAGGTGTCCAGTGACTTTACCTCTGAGGACAGGAGGGGGGCGGCCAGCTTTTATCAGATCACTCTGAGACAGAGCATCCGTCATCCAGGAGAGGGCACTGCAGCAGTACTCCAGCTGGGATAGAGAAACACACACAAGGCTGCTGGATGAGTGCTGAGGCAGGCAGAGCCAACAGCTGCAGGGATACTCTACACACCGTGCACACACACTCTACAAACAGACAGTATATACCCATATCAATCTACCAATACATGCAGATTGTACACACTGAAACAAAGCAACACCTATTGTTTTTTGTCAGAATAGGTGGGTGCTTCTTATTCGATCCGGACTTACAGGGAAAATGTGCCACCTTTTATATGGATGTCTAATCAGTGTTAATGGTTAGTGTAGTCAACTGAGGCAATATCATCTAAGTTCTCCTACTCGCAGAGCCATGCCTTCATGCACCAAGGTGCATTGAACACGAGCTTCTCACACACATAAGTTTTGTTAGGCTCCTAGCCTATAGCTATATTTCTTTGTTGGCCAAAACATAGTATTAGGTGACAGCTAGAATTACCACCTCCTGGTTGTATGCCTCCGCACACCAGTCAAGGTTCTCTTACAGTTTACATCCATGTCTGTGAAAACATGAATGCTTCATACACATCTTCCCACTGGCAGCACAGTGCATCTATACAATCAGCACAGTTTCAAGGTGGGCACCCAAGATGAGTGTCACCAATAAAGTATCTGATTAAATATTCCCCCCTCTGTTCCTGAGATATGACATTGAGTAATGGCCAGAAAAGTGTTTATACAGAACATTATGATGTCACAGCAAAGTTGACCATTGACCTATTTTATCCTGTTAGACATCTGTGTGAAGTTTTGTCATAATTAGCATATGAATTCTTGTGTTATGGCCAAAAACACATTTTATGAGGTCAAGTGGACATTTGTGTCAAATCTGAAGAAAACCCTCAAGGTATTCTTGAGATATCACGTTCATAAGAATGAGACAGATGAGGTCACAAAGACCTTGACCTTTGACCTATGACCAAGTCCAAGTGGACAGTTGCGCCAAATTTGAAGAAATTTCCTTGAGGCATTCTTGAGATATCATGTTCACAAGGATGGGACAGACGTATGGACGGACCGAAGGACATTTCAAAAACATAATGCCTCCAGCAGCTACTGCTATTGTCAGCAGCATAAAACCAGTGGTCATCCAGCACGTTCTCACTCCCAGCTAGTTAAATATGGCAACTTGGTCAGTGGCCCAACACTATAAACCATGACGCCCGAGTCAGCCCTTGTTTCATGCAACATGTGTCCTTTTACCTAAAGTAACTGGTTTCACCAGTTACTTTAGGTTTAGGCAAAAATACCTACTTAGAAAAAGAATATGGTTTAGGTTAAAATAAGTATGTTTGTTAAGTAACTTACTTAAATAAATATGTCATGTGATGATAACTATGTTATGTAGATGAAAATAAACACAATGTTGACACTTGGTTTCAAATGGAACATGAACATCAGTCTCCTGGATGAAAGTCCTGTGTATGTTTGACCCACCACCACCTCTCTTTCCCATCCTACATGAACTTTCTCACACTTTAAACAACGTCATTGTCACAGGTAGGTTTACATTAGGCAGCTATGGTTCAGTGGTACAATGCGTCATCCACTTATCAGAAGATCAGTGGTTTAATCCCCAGCTCCTCCAGTCCACATATCGAAGTATCCTTGGGCAAGGATTTCAACCAGTGGCTCTAATATTGGTATGCGTGTAAATGGTTACCGAGTAGCAGGTGGCGCCATGTATGGTAGCCTTGGCCACCAGTGTGTGACTGTGTGTGTGAATGGGTGAATGTGACGTGTAGTGTAAAAGCGCTTTGAGTGTTCGAAAGATTAGAAATCCACTGTATAAGTGCAGGCCAGTTTACATTTAGAGTTAGTTTAAAGTCTGGTGCGTCTCGTACAGACGTTTAATGGGTGCCTTGTGCATCTGTATTACATGTGGAGAGCCACTGACCAAGCTGCTGTATTTGACACCCTGGCATGGGCGTTACCTGGCCTGGGCATTCAGGGCTTTAGCTAAATGAAAAGAACATTGTAAGCAATCTAAGCAAGACTTGCTACAGTTACATTTTGTTAGTGTTTGTTATGCATCCATTCAGAACATGGTGTCTTTGGTAATTATCATTTTTCTGTTGGTTCATAGTTTTATCAATTAGTAAGGTGGCTGTTACATTTCTTGACCTCAGTCATAGGTAGCTGAGCAGAGACCCCCACTGAGTGTGGGCCCTCTGGCAGTCGCACCCTCTGACCCTATTGTTGCTCTGCTTATGCTGAAGGTCTTAAGCACACCTCTGTCAAAGTGAGAAGTAACATTTACATGCATAGTAATATAATGCACACACATGATCTCTCAGAGTTGGAGTCAGTAACAGCATCAAAAATGGCCCACACCAAAATTTACTGCAGCATAATGATTCACTCTTTGTTGGCATCACAGGACAATCTGAGTTAAAGTACCACCAGTCAGTATTTGCCCTGAGCAGCTCAGGTTCTTGGCATCCCCTCAACCTCGGCCTCTGTCCAGTGAAATTCTTCAGCCATGTACTTTGGTTTGAGTAAATTTGGGTGCATATCCCAGTCAGCCAAAACACTGTAAAATGATTAGATTAGATTAGACAGAACTTTATTAATCCCTTGGGAAGACTCCCTCAGGGAAATTAAGATTCCAGCAGCATTGGATAGCAGCACACAGGGTAAAGAGCACACAGGGTATCAAAAAGTAAAAAAGTAAAAACAATTTGTAAAATATAAATATAAGATATATGATACAAATATGATATATACAGAGAATAAATAAGTAATTCCTTATTATATTCCTTATTGTGGTGGCCACTGGCTTTTGGTTACTGCTCCTTCCCGTCCTCTGTCTTCCTGTTACTCCTCCTCCCCCTGGATGAGGAGTTGTATAGTCTGATGGCCTGAGGGACAAAGGAGTTTTTCAGTCTGTTAGTCCTGCACTTGGGAAGGAGCAGTCTTTGGCTGAATAGGCTCCTCTGGTTAAACATCCGCAGGAATTTCCTGCAGATGATAAACGACCGCAGCCTCCTCAGGAAGTACAGCCTGCTCTGTCCCTTCCTGTACAGGTGGTTGGTGTGGGTTGTCCAGTCCAGTTTGCTGTCCAGCCACAGCCCGAGGTACCTGTAGGAATCCACAGCCTCCACCTCAACTCCCTCGATCAGAACTGGTCGCGGTCTTGGTCTGGACTTCCCAAAGTCAATGACCAGCTCCTTAGTCTTCTAGGTGTTGAGCTGTAGATGGTTTGTGTGGCACCAGACAGCAAAGTCCCTCACTAGGCTCCTGTACTCCTCCTCTCTGTTGTCCCTGATGCATCCAACGATGGCTGTGTCATCGGCGAACTTCTGGATGTGACACAGCTCAGAGTTGTAGCAGAAGTCCAAGGTGTACAGGGTGAAGAGAAGAGGGGCCAGCACCGTGCCCTGGGGTGCTCCGGTGCTGCTGATCACAGTGTCAGACATGGTGTCCCTCAGCCTGACGTACTGCGGCCTGTCGGTGAGGTAGCTGGAGATCCAAGTGACCAGGCAGGGGTCCACTCGCATCCTGTTCAGTTTGTCCTGAAGCACAAGGGGCTGGATGGTGTTAAAGGCGCTCGAGAAGTCCAGGAAGAGAATCCTCATCATGCCGCTTCCCTTATCCAGGTGTGAGTGGGCTCGGGGTAGCAGGTAGAGGATGGCATCCTCCACACCAACACCTGCCCGGTATGCAAACTGCAGACAGTCCTGGGCGTGTTGCACCTGGGGTCTGTGGAGGCTGAGGAAGAGCCGCTCCAATGTCTTCATCAGGTGTGAAGAGAGTGCCACTGGTCGGAAGTCATTCAGCTCGCTGGGCCGGTTCCTCTTAGGAACTGGAATGATGCAGGATGTCTTCCAGAGGGTGGGCACTCTCCCTAGCTGCAGGCTAAGGTTGAAGGTGCGTTGTAGTTGTTCTCCCAGTTCAGCAGCGCAGGTCTTCAGTAGTCGGGGACACACCTTGTCCAGGCCTGCTGCTTTCCTCGGGTGAAGCTTCCTCCTCTGACCTGGTCCACAGTAATGTATGGAAGAAGTTGTGTTGAGGTGGAGGAGGTTGTGTTGAGGTGGGGGAGGAGGAGGAGGGGGCTACTGCTGTGATGTCTGGGGGGAGGTGTGCTGAAGGAAGAAGGAGAGATGGCTGCAGTGAGGGAGAGGGTGGGGGGGGGGGGCAAGGGCTGGTTGAACCGGTTGAAGAAGTCGTTAAGTTCGTTCGACTTCTCCATTGTCCCCCCTACGACCCTGGTTTTTGTGTTATGGCCTGTGATGGTTTTCACACCTTCCCAGACCTCCTTCATGTTGTTTTCTTTCAGCTCCACCACCTTTCTTCTGTAGCTGTCCTTTGCTTCCCTCACGCAGTGTTTCACCTCCTGCTGTGCTGCCTTCATCGCCTCCTTGTCTCTGCTCCTGAAGGCGGCCTTCTTCCTGTTGAGGACAGCTTTGACTTCCCGCGTTACCCATGGTTTGTTATTAGGGTAACAATGGACAGTCCTCGTAGGGGAGACCACGTCTGCACAGAAGTTAAGGTAATCCATCAGACAGTGTGTCAGCCCTTCTATGTCCTCACCATGCGGGTTGATCAGCTCATCCCAGACCGTGGTGTTGTAGCAGTCTCTCAGGGCACCTTCCATTTCAGGGGACCACCTCCTGATGGAGCAAATGGTTACCAGCTGCCTTTGGACCAGGGGGGTGTACTGTGGCTGTAGGTGGACCAGGCTGTGGTCAGACCTCCCTAGAGGGGGGAGGGGTGTAACTCTGTATGCATCCCTCACATTAACATACAGCAAGTTGATTGTCCTGTTGTTTTTTTGTTGGACAGTCCACAACCTGGTGGAAAGCAGCCAAAGTAGAGTCCAAAGTTGCATGATTAAAATCCCCAGAACTGATCATAAATGCCTCAGGGTGCTGTGTCTGCAGCCTTGCTCTGTCGGAGTGAATCTTCTCACATGCAGTGGCTGCGTCCGCTCTCGAAGGGATGTAAACACAGATGGTGATCACGTGACTAAGCTCCCTCGGCAGATAATATGGCCGCAGGCTAACGGCTAGTAGCTCGAGGTCCCGGCAACACAAGACCGTCTTTACGGAGATATGTCCTGGGTTACACCAGCGGTTGTTAACATACATGATGAGTCCCCCACCTTTGCTTTTCCCGCATGCTTTAGTGTCTCTGTCAGCTCTCACAGCAGTGAATCCCAGCAGGTCTACATGAGTGTCGGGTACGAGGTGGGTTAGCCACGTCTCCGTAAAGATAAACAAGCTGCTCTCACGGTAAATCCGCTGGTTGTTCAGTGCGGACAGCTCGTCGATCTTGTTCAGCAGTGAGTTCACATTCCCCATGATCATGTAGGGAATCGATGATTTGTAGCGCCTCCGATTGTCCGCTAGCCTAGCCTTTAAGCTTAGCCCCGGCCCTGCAGCCCCTGGGTCTCCTCCTCAACTCTGCTGGGATGGGGTGTCGTATCCTGGCTCGTCAGTTTGTTTTCAGAGCCAGTAGTTCCTCTCTTGAATAAGTGAGAAAACTGGCTCCTGGTGGCGTTGGAAAGTTAAAAATATCCATGGGATATGTATAAAACACACAATGTCTTTGTGAGAAAAGCAGAAAGGTAGCAAAGATAGGAAAAAAGAGCTAAAAAAGAGCTAAAACTGGAGAGCTACTGGAGAGGCAGCCGTCTCCCACAACGCCAGACTACTGGTTACCCTTGTTGTACCCTTGTTCTCTGCACTCACACATTTTGAGGTATCGTTTTGCTGTTGGAAACGTAGCTAGATTACAATACAAGTGAAGAGAACAAGGAAGATCTGTTTTTGAGTGGCATCTAGGATATTTATGCTCCAATAGCTTGTATTTCTTTCTTGCATCCAGCCATAACACCGTCACATCAAATCAGAGTGGTGGATGAAGGAAGATCAACAGATTATGCAGTTGAAAACTCTGCTTTTTTGTTCAATATAGCACGCACTGAGGAATTTATTGCTAGAGTTGACGATATTTACCATCAACACTGATTGGATATCTAGATAAATGTGGTGAATTTCCCTTTTTCCAAGAAAATCTTTTTTATAGAATTATTTTTAGGAATAATATTCTGGAAAGATTAACCAGGAACTGCAGATAGAAAACCTGCCGAAAATTCAGTTGTATCTCTAGACTGATAAAGGCTCTTGCTGGGACAGATATTTCCTCTTAAGAGACAGCTCCAAATTAAATACAAAGACAAGCCACCACAACACCACATTTTCTGGCATTGAAAAGAGCCTGGATTATGGTTCTAGGCTGCAATGACGCTGGTAATGACTGGTACAAATAAGGCTCACTAGATCTTTTGTGTGTGGTAAGGTATTGCTGACCTCTGTCTCCAGCAACCTCAACCTTCGGTCGTGGTCACGGATCTCTGCCATCTGCTTCAGCACACTGTCCACCCTGTAGAAATAAACACACACAAACTAAAAAGCGTACTTAGTAGGATGTAGATCTCCACCAGATGCTACCTACCCTACACAATGATGAAATCAATGGTGTCATCACTGCAAACTGCTCAAAAAAGATAAAGAACCCTTTGACTGTGCGCATTATTGCCCCTGCCTTTGTTGAACTCCGATATAAAGGTGTATGCTAAGGGACTTTCCTGCCATCTGGAGCCCTGTATGCCTCCCCTAGTCCGCCACAACAAGACAAGGTTTATAAAAACTTGCCTGGCTGCTAATAACATCGAACATTTATTGCATATCATAGGGGCCTCTCCAAATATCGCCACAATAGCAGCTGTTCTGTCATTAGATAGAGAGAAAGCTTTTGACTGCTTGGAGTGGCAATGTTTTGTGGGAGGTTCTAGAGCACAAAGAGTTTGGGGAACATTTTATTGCACTGATTCAGATTTTTTATTCCAATCCTACCACTGTGGTTCTAACAGGCAAAATCTGCTCAAGGTTCAAGGTTACTAGGGGCAGTTGCCAGGGCTGTGTCCTTTCCCCTTTTTTGTTTGCCCCAGTTTTAGAGCCACTAGCGCAGGCTATTCATCTGTCTGAGTATAATGATCCTATAACTACAAAATACAGATCGCCATATTTCTTTTTTTGCAGACAACACCCTGCTTTATCTTGGTAATGCTCTTCAGTCTGTACCGTACCTTCATCAGCTTTTTAAAAACGTTGGCAGTTTATCTGGATATAAAATGAAGGTCCAAATCGGCTTTACTTTCCCTTGATGAAGCTATGTGTAACTCAAAATGGATTTCAGATATCCCAACAGTAATCATTTGTGTTATTTGGGTATTCAGATATATTCCTCAGTTAATTAAATCACTAAAAACAACTAGTGTAAGAACTGTTGAAACTGACCTGAAGAGATGGGTTAAAATCCAAAACTTGGTACAGTCACGATTCTCAATCATTCAAACTAATGTTCTTCCTAACACAAACTTTTATAGCTTTTTGATCTCTCTGTCAGCTACAGTGGGGTTTTGGAATAGGTTGAACTCATGATCTAAGTTTAGGTGGGCAGAATCTAATACATTTTTAAATTTATTTCAAGTCCTTTATTCTTCAGTTCCTTCATTCTTGGTTGAAGTTCTTTATTGGAACTGGCTTCCTAGGAGTAAGAACAGCCATTGCATCCATGGCCTAGTTTATACTTAAGTGTGGGCACCCGGTGTCTGGTTTCCAAATTATGCTCCGTGCTGCTAAAGACAGCTCTTAAACCAAGGCCAATTGAAAATATATGGAAAGATTTTGCATCACACAAGGATTATTCAGTATGTCAATTACTTCACGAAATCCAAATCATCAGATAATTGATCTTTTGAGAACTTATTGGACACCTCACAAATTAATTTTGATGAAAGCCAGACCATCCCTAAATTGCATGCTTTGCCCTCAGGGAGTTTCTGGAACACTTGCACATATGGTTTGTCAATGTCCAGAAGTTCTTTTATTTTGGAACTGTGTCTCTTCATGTCTGTCAGAGATTATGCAATGCTCTGTTTTATTGTTGAATGATGATTCTTAATTTACACTATCACAATGACAAGTATGGCTGTCTGGCCTAACAGAAGCCAAAAAAATTACTGCTCTACAAAGGAAGGCCCTGCATTCGGCCGATTGGTCCAGTAGTATGCGAGATTGGCTGCAGACAGACAGATACACACACAAAGACAATCAAATGTGCATGCACGCAGCAACACAACCAAATACATAATTCCCTTCAGGCTCAAACCTGGCAGAGATAATAATCCTGCTACAAACCTCAGATAGAATGTCAGTCTGAGTTCAGCTCAGTTCAACAAAATGGAATGGTCACAAATATATATAAGAGATTTCTACACGTAAAAGAGAAACATTAGAAGTATAACCTGAAAGTAAGAAGTGACTACACTTTTGGTCAGTCATAACAAAAGCAGAGGCAACTTACTTGACAGATGTAGATTTAAGTTGTGCTGTGTCTGTACATCTCTGCCGCTTATTCTGAGCTGTGAGGAAGTTTTCTTTGTGGATTGCCTCCCATGTGTTGAGGCGGCTGGCATTTCTGCCCCGGAGATCAAGAGCTGAGGACAGAGAAGATCAGTAAAGTCACTAGAATGAGGACAAGAATAAGAATTGCACATTATGCTTGTCCTGAATTTTGGGGATCGACGCTTCAGTGAGAAATGGGTCTTCAACAGGGGGTCCGGGCCTTCTAGTTTATCATAAGAGTTACTGCAGGTAATTTTTTTCAACTTTTTTTTTCTTTTCAAAAATTAAATATCTCTAAAAGTACACATTAACATGAATCCAACATATTTGGCCTTTTGCAACAACGTTTCTGTGAAAGTGGAGTTTCCTCCCTCACCTACATGAAAAGCAATTGCAGCAAGACTGCAGCCTGAGGTTGATATGGCCCCCATATGCAACTCAATATATGTTGTTGGGGGAACTTGCTCTATCTTTCTTTTAGCGAAGAGGTCACTGACCTAAAAATTTTGAAGACCCCTGGACTATAGTTTTCAGGTGATTGGCCAAGCTCATTATAGATTTGTAAAATGCCAATTTCCTTTTGCTGGTACTCGACTCTTGGGGGGTCAACTTTACAAATTTTGAAATTATTCCAGATGTTTGACTTTTTGGACATCTTGCTAGCATATCTGTAAGCCTGTCATGTGTGGTCAAACTGTCCCAGTCTCAGTAGTGCTGGACTGCTGGTGACTGGTGTTAAATGAGAGCAAGTTGGGGTCGCAAAACTACCAATAAGTTTAAGTGTCATTGTCTGAGAATAACTAACGCCAGTTTTTTTTTCTCTGTAGAAGTCACACTGTTTGAAGGAATGTATTACGTGGAGTGGTGGGGCTGGAAACAATGTATTCAAAATTTTAACTTCTTGTGTCCACTATGTAGTGCTAGAAAACACACAGTTATATATGTCATGTTGCTTTATATGAATTGTTGAAAACACCATGGAAATGTCATGAAAATCAAATGATACTGTCACACAAAGCCTACTTCCTGTTGCCAGTGAGTGGCACAGTGACTATAACACCAGATTGGCATGCCCATGTCTTCAGGCCTGGACCCTTATGAGGCCTGTGAAATCTGTGACAAACTGGATAATGTACACTGTAAAACAACTTCCTGTTTCATGGTGAATAGTGTGCAAGTGTTCAATAAAGACTCACAATCTTCACAAGGAAGCATAATCAAGGTTTAAAGGCCTTTCTTACCACATCTGAGGTGGATGTGGCCAACCCACATGGAGGTCAAAGTAAAAAATCAATGTAAAAAAAACCCCATACAATTTCCTGTGCCAGTGGGTGAATATATGACCATAATTCAATTTTGGCAAGAAGATGTCATTGGGTCAGGACTTTTAACAAGCATGACAAATTTTGGGCAGATTGGACAATGTATGCTCAACAACTTTCTGGTTTATGTCAAAACATGCACAAGGGCCACCATGCCACGACAAAGGCATTCCATGAAAACTGTTTTCACCAGACAGCATAACTGAGGTGTTAAAGGGGCAAAAAGCGAAATCGTTTCACCGCTAGGTTTGCTGTTGTGCACTGCCTGTAGACCAAAACAAAGTGTGTCATGAGCCACTCCTCCCTCTACCTCTGCTCTCCACCCCCCACTCGCCTCGTCTAGCAGTTAGCGATGTCTCGGTCTCTGCTGTGTTTAGCTATTCCCCTGCCTACTTCAATGATGATGGTACCTGTAATAAATGTAATATATTTGCTGAGATGGAGGCGAGGCTCAGTGACTAGAGGAGCTGGTAGAAGCGCTCCATAGCTGTTAAGTTACTCCAGTAGCTGGTGGCAACTGACTCGGCTAGTGCTAACACCGGGAGCTAACGTTAACGTTCCTCCTCTTCTCCGTGAGTGAGAGCGATGTTTTAGCCTAGCGGGCAGCTGGCTCGCGGGCTGCCCACTAGGCTAAAACATCACTTCAGGTTAAAGTGGGAAGAAGCAGTGGGTTTATCGGGCAGCTGGGTGAAGTGGAGGCTGCGGAGGAAACACCGGGATGGGTTAATGTCTGGAGCTTGAGCAGCCCGCCAGGCTCGCGGGCTGCCTGCTAGGCTAAAACATTGCTCACACTCACGGAGAAGAGTAGGAACATTAGCGTTAGCTCCCGGTGTTAGCACTAGCTGGGATCCGGCGATGGCTCCCGCCAGGCTGCCCGCCTGGCTCACGGGCTGCTCAAGCTCCGGACATTAACTCATCCCGGTGTTTCCTCCGCAGCCTCCACTTCACCCAGCTTCACTCAGCTGCCCGAAAAACCCGCTGCTTCTTCCTACTTTAACCTGAAGCGATGTTTTAGCCTAGCGGGCAGCCTGCGAGCCAGCTGGCCGCTAGGCTAAAACATCGCTCTCACTGACGGAGAAGAAGAGGAACGTTAGCGTTAGCTCCTGGTGTTAGCACTAGCCGGGATCCGGCGATGTCTCTAGCCGAGTCGGCTGCCACCGGCTACTGGAGTAACTTACAGCTATGGAGCGCTTCTATCAGCTCTTCTAGTCATTGAGCCTCGCCTCCATCTCAGCAAATACATTACAAAAATGTAGCCTCGCGGGCTGCCTGCTACATGCTACATTTTACAATACTAATTGAAAATGTTAGCTGTGCTGCCGGGCTAACATACTCACTTAACACAACCGTAACGCCTGACCCATTGCTGGGACCGAGCTGCTAATAACTCAAGCTCCAGACATTAACCCATCCCGGTGTTTCCTCCGCAGCCTCCACCTCACCCAGCTTCACTCAGCTGCCCGATAAACCTGCTGCTTCTCTGCTGTCCATGCTGCGGCTAACGCCTCGCCAGCCGCTCCCAGCTAGCTCCGAATTGTTATTGAGGTTAAAGTGGGAGAGGCAGCGGATCTGTGGGGCAGCTGAGTGAAGTGGAGCCAGAGGAGGAAGCACCGGTTAGCCCCGGTTTCGTTCCGCTCTCTGCCATTTCATTTCGAAAATATGCGCTGCCATTGCTCACTGGCTGTAGCCTTTTATAGGGAGGGAGGGCCAAGGGCTTTGGGGGGGGGGGGGGGGGGGGGGGGGGGGGGGGGATTCACATGAACGTACATGAACGCGCAGCCGGACCAGCTTGTAAACAATGGGCTGGAGATCAACACAGAGGGAGGGGGTGTGAGGTCATGCTATACTCCAGATGAAATTACACCTCTAGTTCTTCACATAGCAATTTTTTAATTCCTTCAATCTAAAAATGATGAATTTTGCTTATTGCTCCTTTAAGGCTTTTAAAAACAAATTGGAGTTTTGTGGCAAAACATGGAAATTTAATGCCTTGCCACGGTAACATGGTTTGACGAAAAGCATCTAACAATTTTTCATGTAAAAGGGGTCACAATTTGGAGTCAGTAGGATTAAATCTCTAGAACGAGTTTGTTAAAGTATGACCCCTTTAAATAGCCAAAAATGCACAAAAATTACAGCAAATTAAAACACCTCCTGTTGGGTTTCGGGCATGGCTCCAAGAGACTTTTTTTTATACATCTTGGCATATTACATGTGCCTCCCAATTTTTGTACATCTAGGTGAAATAGAACACGGGGGCTACTTTGTTGAAATTTTGTACGGGGCACTACTGAGGCACTTTGTCACACTGGAGACCCATAAAATATTTTTTTCACCAGTTCTGATGTATGTGTAAAGTTTCATTATCTATTTATATACACTATACTATCTTTTACTATCTATTTTACATACTCATTTACTGTACCAAGCGGGGACGCCCTCCCCCTCTCTGCTCCAACACTGACTGACAGCTGACTTCACTCATTTACACTCACCACTGCCCCAGGGCCGCTACAATATGCTATCTACAGAGATAGCACTGGCGATCTGAACCGGTCAGTGGCAAAAAAAAGCACTTTTATACAGGACACATTTGCCCCCATTACCGTTTTAGCTCGTTTCGCACCTCAATACTGAACCAATTTTAGAACGAGTGGTACCCATGAATCATACGCACACATACACATTGGGAAATAGAGCCCAGGTTGAAAAATACCGAAGTTGTCCTTTAACCTTTGTTTCTCTTTCTTTTGTTTTGCTCCCTCTTTCCCCTGTGCAATGCTTGTCTCGTATCCCCTATCTTTATGCTTTTTTTGCTATTACTCACCAAAGTGTTTGCTTTTGACTGAAGGAATATGGCGGATGTGTCTCTTGATAAAAAGGTGGATGTGTGAGATGATGATGAAGGGTGGTGCCAGGCAGGGCCTTGAGTGGTACTCCACAATCAGGTTGTAACGCTGAAACTTCCAGTAGGTGTCACTGTTCTCCTGTACTTTGGAGAAGGTGTAGCTGCAGACAGTAATTTCAAATCTCATTATGAAGACAGCTCAAATGCTTTGTTTGAAATCTGCTTAATCAGTAGAACACTGGAACTGAAACAAATCAGTTTAAGTACCTGAACATAGCAATGAGTAGATTGACCAGTACTATGTTGGTAAACAGCAAGTAGATGACAAGAAGGATGACAACCAGCCAGTTGGCATAGGTGCTCAGACAGGGCTCCTCCCCAGCTTCAATTAGTGTGGCATTGTTCGTACAGTTCACTTCGTCCAATTTATCAGCTAGATGGAGACAAATCAAGAGATCCAAAACATTGCAACATTACTTTCATTAGTACACTTACGTGGTAACAACAAAAGAGTGACATAGAGATACAACAAATAATAGGACAGACAATGGATAGACATACAATCAGCGTGAACATGGTATAATGATGATGAAATGGGTTGACTTGGACAGTGTGTGTGTGTGTGTGTGTGTGTGTGCGTGCGTGCATGCGTGTGTGTGTGCTTGGATGTGGTGGGGGGAGGCAAGCGAGAGACCCCCCCACCCAGGCCCCAGCAGCGCAACCAAGGGCCCCAGCAGGAAAGAGGCGTGTCAGGTCTGCAAGGCTCCCACCCTCCCCCCTGTTAAGTTTTTTTATTATATAATTTTAATTTTTGGGAGGACTTACCCTGAGCCACATCCAGACCCAGAGGTGGACACTGGCCCATTGCAAGTGTCACCCAAGTTGAGTGCCTCCTCCTGGACGATGACCATTCCCAGACCCTGTGGGAGGGAATCTGTCTATTGAGGGATGACACTCTTTGTTTTTATTTTACATTAGTTTATTTAGGTTTAATGTATCTATTTGTTTGTTTATTTATTCATTTTGTTTGTCTTTTTTTTGGGGGTTATTGTTTCCCCTTAAGGGTTCCACTGTACCCACCTTCCGCCCATCCCGAACCGGAGGCCCCGCCACGCCGCAGGGAGCCAGACAAGAAGCACCACCTGCTGCCCCCTAGCAAATGCTAGCATTAGCTAGCAAGCTAACATTAGCACTCACATTATTGTTCTCGAAACCAAATCATTAAAGACCCAACAGCTTCTATTCGACAAGAATGTTGGTACTTAGTGCAAAAAACATGTAGAACTGAACTGACAGGCTCCTTGTTGTCCACAGATGCCATGTCAAAAGTTGATCAGTTTGTGATGTGGTCCAATAAGATTTCGAAAGTCCAGAACAGAACAACAATTACATCATTTTATTCCCACTGAAGTTAGTGTAGGGCTAAACCAAAAGTTAGCTGCTCGGGCCACACTTGTGTTAAGCCACCCTAAGTCTCTAGTGCGCTTGCTCTCTGGGCCCCACAATGCAGAAGACCCAGGTCATTTTATACCATGGAAATTTAGCTTATTTGAACAACTTTCATAGGGATGAATGGTGCCTCGCCTCGAATGGCGTATCCAGTTACTCCTTACATCCACTGCAGCTACGGATTGTGTGAGCAGGAGCATGAGCCTTTAATAATCTGGTGAGTGAGTGAGTGAGTGAGTACAATCATGATTAAAAACTATCCACCTTTACTGAATGTATAAATAGTATATTGTGCATTGATAGTTTTACAAAACTGAGTTGAATAAAATGAAATGAAAGCTTTAGGTCCCAGAGGTTTGAATTTTGAATTGACTTTCACTTTTTTTTTTGTTTTTAATCGTTTAAATCTTGGATGACAATGAGACAACCAAAGGTCATTGACAGAGATAGAGACAGGTAAAATAGAGATTGAACCACTCACCATCCATTTCATTTATGGGTATTTGGCCAAAAATGTGCAGGTATGGTCTGTAGAATACTCTGCGGAATATCCAATCAGGGCGGGGATCATATGAGTAGAGGAGTGCTTGATTGGTCACTCCGTAAGCCATGAGCCACACAGCCAGGAAAAAAAGGAAGAAGAAAACATCCTTCATCTGAGGAAAGCAAAGAGAAAGCAAAGAGAGATGATGATGTAGTATTGGCCCTGGTGACCAAGTTGTTTTGTGAGTTTTGTGTGCACTTACCATTTTGCCAACAATGATGATTTTGGGCCCAAGGTGTTTGTGGATGGCAAAGATATGGATGAGACGTAGTGTGAAGACCATGAAGTCTATAGCCATCACAGCTCGGCCAAACTTATATGACCAGGGACCCATTCTGGAAAACAAAATAGTACAGTCAATCACCGTTAATATGTTACACAATATGTTCACCTACATTATGAACTTGTACACCCAGATAAATGAGGAAAAAATAATTACCAGAGATTCTAGTTACCTCTGGCAGTTATATGTCTCCGTGAACCAGTCAAGGTGCACTTAAAAAAACAACCATGTCTGTGAAAACATGGATGCTTCACACACATCTTCCCCCAGGCAGCACAGATGGTCTATACAATCAGCACAGTTTCAAGGTGGACATCCAAGATTAGTGTCACCAATTAAGTATCTGACCATATGTCTCCCCTCCTGACAGGGGTGGACTGGCCATCTGGAGGTTCTGGAGAATCACAGAACGGCCGGTACTCCAGGACGGCCGGCGGCCGCCACGCAGTCATCACCGTTTGTTTTGTTTTTTTTTTCTTTTTTCTCCCTGATAATCTACTATTCCACGTCCAGTCCGCTAGGTGGCAGCCTTTAAATTGGATGCCAGCCGGCCCATAGATATCTATGAGCCTGCCGGCTGCCAATCAAATTGAAGAAGAAGGAAGCGCATACGTCACGCAAATCGCAGCCGTGTGCAGCAGGTGCAGATGTATTCAAGTTAAACTGTATAATTACAGCCTCTTTACACTGTGATTTATCATAACTCATACCATGTCTTGTTGTGTGTTTCAGGCAGTCACCTGCATTGTATTGTTCAGCAGAGAGACATCTGGATTGTGTCGTTTATTTCTCAGTGAGTATTCTACACTATGCTCTTAACACAACATCTAGTCAACATTGGTGCTATTGCTATAATTTGGAAGGTATAGTATCATGTGTTAAGATTTAAGTATTTTGACACCCGTGTCTTGGGCTGATGAGTTTCCGCGCACCAGTTGTTGTGGGCTGGGCCGAGTCAAAGTCCAGGTCTGTTTTTTAGTCCCAGTCCGCCCCTGCCTCCTGATCCTGAGATATGATGTTGAGTAACGACTAGAAAGTAATGGACCTGCATTTTGTATAGCGCCTTTCTAGTCATCTAGTGACCACTCAAAGCGCTTTTTACACTACGAGTCACATTCACCCATTCAGACACACATTCATACACTGGGGGCCGAGGCTACCATACAAGGTGCCACCTGCTACTCAGTTTTAACACACTCACACACCGATGGAACAGCCATCGGGAGCAATTTCGGGTTCAGTATCTTGCTCAAGGATACTTTGACATGCAGCCTGGAGGAGCCTGGGATCGAACCGCTGATCTTTCGATTGGTGGACGACCCGCTCTACCTCTGAGCCATAGCCGCCCCGAAAGATGTTTTTGCAGAACATTATAATGTTATAGTGAAGCTGACCTTTGACCTTTTGGATATAAAATGTCATAAATTCATCATTTTGTCCTCTCAAACATTTGCGTGAAATGTTGTCATAATTAGTGTATGAATTCTTGAGTTATGGCCCAAAACATGTTATGTGAAGTGACAGACACGTCAATGACCTTCAATCGGTTCATTCTTGAGTCCAAGTAAATGTTTCTCCTCATTTGGAGGAAATTCCCTTAGGGCCTTTTTGAGATATTATGCTCACAAAAATAAGACAAACACAAGGTCACAGTGACCTTGACCTTTGACCACCAAATTTGAATCAGCTCATTATTGAGTCCAAGAGGATATTTGTGCCAAATTTGAAGAAAATCCCTCAAGGTGTTATTGAGATATTGCATTCATGAGAATGAGACAGACATCCTATAAACATAATGCCTCCAGCCACAGCTATCGTCGGCGAGGAGGAATAAAAAGACAGGATCCTGTCTGGCTTTTCAGCCTGTCTGCACAAATACATAAAGGACTGGCAACAGTGCGCTTTGGCCCTAGAGTTACGTTGGTAGCCTGTGGTGCTGTGCTTAGTGTAAGTTCTCTTGTCAGTGTGTCAGAAGAGTCACCTGCAGCATAGAGCCACAATGAAGAGAGAGATGGCTGTGAGGTCACACTTGTTCCACACATCCTGGATGTAATTCTTCATCCTCTGGAGGACAAAGGTGCTGCCCACGAAGAAGGTCTGTTAACCAGAGAGAGAGGAGTGACATATTGTACATGGATAGATGTGGATATCATGCAGTGTACACTATGTGTCTGTGTCAGTGGGAGAAATGTGTATTTTAGGTGATGTGGTAAGGATTCAGATTGAAAATGGCACTGATAGGATGTGTTGCCTCAGGTTCTGTGGAGAACATGAATTACAATCCAGTCAAAGTGACAGATCCATGAGTTTGAAGGCTTATCATGAACCAAAACCCTGCAGAGTGATGTATAACTATTGTAAACAGTAGATCTATGTGCCAGTATGTCTTTGCATGCTAGTGTCTTAACCAACCTGCCGGATCTCTTCACATACTAAGGTGAAAACCCAAAAGTAAAGCACAAATTCCAGTGTGGAAGGGCCGTCAGGGGGTGGGGGCTTGAAGTCCACCAACAGGACATAGGCAAACAGGCAGAGGAACAGGAAGTACATCAGCACATTGCCGAGGAATGAGGTGACAGGGGCAAACCAGAACTGTCTCCACCGTGATACAATGAATGGTCTCTTGGAGTTGGATGGCAAAGGGTCTGAAGTAAGAAGAAGAAGAGAAGTTAAAAAAAGTTAAATAATGAAAACCGGAATGATTAATGATGTCACCAACCAATCACAAAAAATCTATTACCATGCACTTAGTGGCCAACTTTCAAGGTACACATGCTCCACAAAGAAAACACAAACATTCATTTACGACCAGAAGGGAATCATGGTGCAGACATCACAGACCATGGCATGACACAGCCTAAGCAACTTAAACAGTATGTCACTATTAGGGATTCTTTGAGCATCTAAGAAAATGCAATTCTCTTGTCATTTTTGTGCACTAGTGTAAATATTATTTCATCTATCCATCCCTCCTCTGCCACTAACCAGGTCTGGTGGCAGCATGCTAATTAGGGTTGGATGTGCCCAGAAACTTACAGAGAGAGGCATCCACGAGGCATCCTGATCAGTCCCCAAACCACAACAACTGGCTCCATTTAATGCAAAGGAGCAGTGGCTCTACTTTGAGAAGCTTCCCCATGTAAAGCCTCCTTAACGTGTTCCTAAAGGTAAGCCAAACCATCCTGCAATCTTAAACAAATGAGTATCCGCTTGTAACCATGATCCCATCTATCTGTAATACCCAGAGCTCATGACCATAGCTTTTTTTTTTTTTTTTCCCGTTAAAGGGTTTTTTTTTTTTTTGGGGGGGGGGGGGGGGGTCCTTATCTGCTGCACACTTTGCTAATCTCCCAGTCCATCTTACAATTTCACATTAACAACACCCAATTTCCTCACTTGGGACAGCAACTTGCTCTCACCTAAAGGCACAATCTATTGTTTGAGTGCCATGGTCTAAGATTTGGTAGTGTTGAGCCAGCAAAACTTAATCTGCAAAAGAGATCAGAGATCCAGTCCTGAGGTCATCAAAACAGACACCCTCATTCAGCTGTGCCTTGAGTTTCTGTTCATGAAAATCACCAACAAAATAGGTGACAAGGCACAACCCTGGTGGAGCCCAGGGGCTACAGGCAGTTTGTCTGTCTGTCAGCTCAAATTCTTGTCATACAAGGGCCAGGTGCCGGATAGTAATAGCCCCCATACTCCATACTCATGAAGCACCCCCACACGTACGCACGCACGCACGCACGCACGCACGCACGCACACACAAACACAAACACAAACACACACACACACCACAAGGGACATGGTAGAAAAGCCCATGAAGCCTGGATGGGGGAATTGAACAAAACCCCACTGACAAGTACTGTTTGTGTATTCTTTTAATACCACTGACAGAGCAAATGTGTTTTTTCCCTCTAAGATCATCACAAACTAGAAAAGCAAAGTTAAAAAAAAAAGTCTCTAAGCTTGTGCAGTAATATCACTTTGGCATGAAGCGACTCTCCAGAGACTGAAAAATGCGTTCACACATTTATGTCACAACAGTTTATTGTCTGTTGTACTGAAGGAATATATTTTCCAACTCCTTGCTAATTTTTCTTTTCTTTGCAGTTTCTGCAAGGGCGGCATGGACGTTGCTAGACCGGGGCATTCCCGGCTATAGCCCCGGATCTTTTGGGCTCAGCCCCGGATCTTTTAAGCTTCCGTTTTTTGTTTTTTATTTCTAATAAAGCATCTCGTTTCCAACCTCGTGTCCACGGCATGGCATGGGAGCACAACAGAGAGCAGCGCACGCAGCACAGCAGCACACAACATACTCACTGTCACACCAGCTTATATGGCATATGCCCATATATGGGCAGTCAGAATAATAACTTGTTACAATAGAGTGTGCCAGGGCTGACGTCAAAACCCGGAAGTTTAGCATCACGCTGGTTCCCGGAAGAGAAAGTCAATGTGATTTTTGCATTGCGTTTTGGATTATGTCAGAAAATAAGATCTGTGACTAACACAAGTTTATGATACCTACAGGTTTTGTTCAGTGAGATAATCTTCACATAAGAATACCTTTCATATCGCATTTGAAGCTTAAATGCGATTGCCAGAAGTAAAAAGCTAACTTTAGGCTTTAACGGACTACATGAATACTCCACGGTCGCATGACTCACCACTCATGACGTCACCACCACTAAGCTTTCAACTGATTTCGGCCGCTTTCTTTTAAAAACATTGTATAATAGGGAAATCGGACTGTTTAAGCTAAATAAGAAGCTGTAATGGCGGACTGCCAGCACTCTTGTCTGTTCGGGGGTGATGACGTTTAATGTCCCCAACAGGGTTTGTAGTTGTATTGAGTAACTTGTTAGCAACCGCCTTTTTTATGACACGTAAAAGCTTCAAAATTCACAAGTAGGGTATTTACTGACGTGTCTTATGTCGTAGAACAAAACCTGAAACTTGCTTAAACTTTAGTTAACCACAGATCTTATTTTAGGCATTTTACCAAAATCCCATTCAAAAAACGTATTGACATTTAGACGAGAGAACCGGAAGTGCTAAAAGCGCTAACGGAGTTCCGGGTTTACTGGCACACTCTATTTTCAAGTGCAACGTCAGTAGGCTACTCTGTATTACAGTTGTATTTATTGTGCATACTGGTGGCCAGCACCGAGTCGCTGTGTTTTACATAGTCTTGTAGTAAGTATGGATATTAGATGATTTTTTTTGAAAAAAACAAAAAGGCAGCAGGAGGAGAGCAAGTAGTATATCCCTAATGGTGTTCAGTATATACACATACAACTGTCCGTTTAGTTTTTTTCATTTATATCCCACTCCAAACTGACCACACATATCATCTAAATGTGAAGCAGATTTTCTCTTCTGTGCTTTGGAGGCTCTATCTCTGCAACAGATTGGTCGATTTGAGTGACTGACACCTTGTTTGATTTGTTAGAGCCAATAGAATGATGCTATACCCACCAACACGAGATTGACAGCACTGTAAGCCAGTCAGAGTCAGCAGAACGCCGCTGCTGTATGTGGTCATTGTAATGCTTCCCTAACGCCCGCCATGTTAGGTCGGATTCATTTGAACACAAAACAACATGTCCGTTTAGCAGGATGTACCGTGTTTTACCGGTAGAATGAACTTTTCATGGCAAAACAATAAAGGTAAGAGAAATTTTACAACTATCGTTAAGTGAAACGATTTCTGTTGTTGTTGTTCTTTGGCCTCTATCTCTCTGATGCTTTGGTGTAGCATGCTTTGGCAGATATGTGCGGAAAAGGCAGTCTTTGCTTTCATTTGAGATAAATGGCGTGTGTTTTGCATAACGTGGTGTTGAGTTAGAGCCCGAAATATGGCAAGTGGGTTGGCACATCGGTGCTGTATGGAGTTTGATTTGTTGTTATTCATTTAGTTGTTGTTTGAGATGTGTTTGGGGCATGTAGAAAGGGTTTATACAGCCTTGTAGCCCAGGCTCTGCTGTTTAATTTGATGTGCAACATTACTATATTCTTCGTGATTAGTGCATTGGTTCACACTGTGTTAGCAAAGTCGTTCTCAAAGACCTTCGGGCTTAACCAACAATTTGGGCAACCCAATAATAGAAGACGAGTGCTCATTCTTTGTCAAAATTCTCTGTCAAAATACGTTAAAATCACGGATTTATTCCAAATTTTCACAGGTGAGAAACCCCCGGATACCCAGGTAAAAAATTGTACCTACTTCCGGGCTAAAGCCCCGGATGTTTTCAACTCCTAGCAACGCCCCTGAAAGGCGGCATACCTACGAGAGTAGCCACTACGTGCAAGTACCATCACCAGATTAGTGATTCAAACCCACCTTTCAGGTTTTCTTTTAGAGCACTGAGCTCTTCAGCTTCTTCTTCTTCACTGTGATCCCAAAAAAAGAACAAGGGACTTTTGTTACAACTGAGAAGGAAGACCATCATACAGTCCACACCAATTTATGTTTGAATATTTGTGTTTACTTAGGTATAATGTCAGCAAGGGAGAAGACGGTGGCATCATTCCCATCCAGACTTTCAGTGTCTCTGTAAAAATGGACCTCCACAGACTTAATCTCATCCTCTTGTTCTCTGTAACATGAACACACACAACTGGGCATGTTTTCTTTTCTTGTCAAACAATTGTAAAAAAAAAAAAAAAAAAACATGTAAGTTTAGAGGGCAAAAAACTGTTGAGTTAAAAATAAGTTAGCAGGCTACAGGGCCTTTTTCCAAAATAAGACAACAGAGACCCCGGACTGTTAAGCAACTGAAGTCGTATATCAAAAAAGAATGGGAAAGAATTTTACTTTCAGAACTTCAATAATTAGTGTCCTCAGTTCCCAAATGCTTACTGTGTTGTTAAAAGAAAAGGTGATTTCACACATTCGGACACACGCTCCTGTCTCGACTTTTTGGAATGCATTGAAGAAATTAAATTCAGATTGAGTGTATATTGACAAAAAACAATAATGTTTATCAGTTTGAACATTAAATAGAATAGAATAGAATAGAATAGAATAGAATAGAAAGAACTTTATTCATCCCCTAAACCTAACTGAATATAGGTCAAAAAGAATTTACAAATCATTGGATTCTGATTTTATTTACATTTTACACAGCATCCCAACTTTTTTGGAGTTGGGGTTGTATATCGTAAAGGGGAATGACATTTTACAAATACGACAAAACAAACAAACAAAAAACAAAACAAGAAATCAATTAAAAAATATAGTGAAGCTTTGCAGATTGATACAGTTCTACAAAGAATCCTTACCGGAACGCAGTATATTGCAGCTAACTATTGTAGCCTTTCCTGAACCTCTGTTTTGTATGTTCTGTAGTTTAGGTCAAGTTTGAGTAAGAAAAATCTCGACCTAAAATGTGACCTTCACTCATAGGATATGTATCCTCCTATAATTTGAAAATTATAAAATTTGTACTGTTCTTGTTGGATCAAAGGTGCACCTTTTTTACAGAATTCTTTTGAAATGGGAATTAAGATACTGCAACCACATGGAAAATATCCTGATTTTTAGAGATCTGCTGAAACCAATTTATAACTGGCTTTTATTTTCACATAAATTCCGAAGTTGCTGTTTATGCCTACAGGAAGACATTGATCACCTTGGTTACACTGAAGACAAACAGAAAGATGGAAAGATAAAAACCACCTCTCTTCCTGGCTGTTTACAGAATTACCCACCATTAGAATAGCCATTAGAATATACAGAAGAGTAAACCCACTTTCTCCTGGTAACCTTTCCATCTAACTAGTAATATATCTACCTCATCAGCTGCCACCACACCACTGCTCTTTGTTGCTTTATATATACATACATATATATA